GATTATGCCTGACCAACCTGGTAGTCTTCTATGATGAAATGATGGCATTGATAAGCAAAGGAAGGGCAAGTGATGTCATCTATCTGGAATCGTGCAAGGCCTTTGACAAGGTCCTACACCACATCCTTATCTCTAAATTGGAGAGATACAGATATGAAGTTTGAAATACTATGTGGATAAATAATTGGTTGAGTGGTCACAACCAGAAGGTTATGTACTCCTGTGAAGAAAGACTGAGGGAGTTGGGCTGATTTCTCTTTGAGAAGAGAACGGTCCAGGAAGACCTCATTGCAGCCTTCCAGTACTTGAAGTGAGATTACAAGCAGGAAAGGGTCTGACTTTTCACGCTATCTGATAGTGATAGGACAAGGGGTAATGGCTTTAAACTAAAAGAGGGGAGATTTAGTTTAGATGTTTGGAAGAAACTTTTTACTCAGAGGGTGGCTCTGGGACAGGATGCCCAGAAAGGTTGTGGATGGGGTCACTGGAAGCATTCAAGCCCAGGTGGAATGGGACACTGGACAGCCTGACATAGTGGCTGGCAACCCTGCTCATGGCAGGGGACTTGGAACTAGATGATCTTTAAGGTTCCTTCCAACATAAGCAATTTTGTGATTCTAATTATGAGGCTGCTAATTATGAGACCCTTTTAAATCCTGGATATTCCTAAGTAGGTTTATTTAAAGAATTGAGCACTAGTCAAGAGCAATCTAACTTCATGAGATCATTGAAGTACTGAGTTAGATTTTGCTGTTCTGAGGAGGTTGAACTTTTGTTTCCAGTTTACCTCAAGTGTATGCAGCATCTGCAGCGTAGGAAAATTAAACAGAAATGATCCTGTGTGGTTTCTTGTTTGTTTTGCTTTTGTTCCAACAAAAATTATGAATTACATGATATACAACCTACAGTACTGGAGAAAATGAAATTTAGTCTCTTCCTTGTCTGTTTGTTCTACTTTGATCAGAATAATCTAGTTAGAAAGAGTCCCACCAGTAATGAAAACCTACACGTTTTCCTTTGGAAAAGAATTTTATGGCCTCTACTTTCAGCTTTAGCTGTATATGTAAAATACATATCAAGTAGGAATCTTGATAGGAACTGCAGATGTACAGTGGCCCTAGGATGTATCACAGCATGCTAATTGACATGTGAAAATGGCAATTTTGTATAATTTATGGTTTAGATCATTTTATTATTGGGAGTAGCATTACAGTAGTAATTAGAGACAAGCTGTGGACCAAATTCTCACGGTGCATAATGCTCTACAAAAACTGAGTGTAAGAATGTTCCAAAAAAAGGTTACAATCTAAGTACAAGACAAGTGATGAATACGGAAGGAGAAGGGCAACAAAGATACAGTGAGTCCAAATGGTAAGTAGATCTGCTGATATTTTAACAATCTCATTATTGTCAAGCTTTTAGAAAACATTGCAACAGAGTGGTGGTGGGATATTGAAGAAAGATAGTGAACATTACTCATAGATAGTTTATGAATATTGTCTGGCTGATGAAGTGGGAAAAGCTAGGAAAGATGCAAGTGTGGGTGAAAAGGTCACTCTGTTTTGGTGTTGATTAGAGACGATAGCTGAGGTGAGTCAGTTGTTAGTCTGTGTGATAAAGGGAAGTAGTTATGTCTTTTATCCTATAGTAAAGTCAGATTCTGTAATAGGATGATAAGAAAGAACTGACATAGATAAAAGAACAGTTTAAGAAAATTATCATTCTGGATGGAGGTCCAGGAGGACAAGGGCTGTATTTGCTAAGGCCGAAAAAGCAGCATGAATGTTTTAATGGATGAGTAGGAAAGAAATATGCTAGATGTGACAGCTGTATCTCAGTAGGTGAATCTCACTCATTTTAATTCTGAAAGAGAGTAAAATATTAGTTTGAACAGAGGGCACATTTTAGTGATCTGGGGAGGAGGTTGGATCTGTATCAGTTTGTTTGGGAGCAGAGAGAAACTTTCTTTGTGATCCCATTGCTGTTTGAGGCTTCTGCTCCACGTAAAGTTGAATTCATTGCTATGAACAAAAAATGCAATAACAAGTGTTTCATTTTTGTTTACCTATTTGTTTTTAAGAACTCTTTTTCTCTGGAGCAACTGCTGTTTTTGCAGAAGTTTTCCTAGATAGAGCAACTTGGGAAAGGAACAAACAAGGTGTTGTGGTTTTGTGATGTTTTTTTGTTGTTGTTGTTGTTGTCAGTATTCCGCCTCATAGCATCACGTAAAGCTCTGGGTATTAAAGAGTTAATGCTCCGGTTCTTTGGACCGCTGTTTCTGGGCGCTTTGTTCTTTGAGGCCGAGCGGGAGAGGCTGCATCCTGGAGGGGACTTTGCGTTCCAGAGGGGGAAGGTGCAGCTCCTCGCAGGTCAGGAGCCGCTCTCTTTGTTCGCTGCCGAGAAGCACTGTGTTCCATTGTGCTTTTGCCTGCAGTCCATAGAGTAAGGCCTCAGTTTTGGACACTCTCATTTTCTTTGATTTGTTGGCTGCAATTCCAATTGTGTTGTGTTGTATTGTTATCTTGCATTCTGAGATCATATTTCGTAAATTAATGTTCCTCCTCAGATCGTTGCCACTGCTCTGTTTTTATACCGATCTACTATCTCCCTACCCTTCCCCCCTTTCCTGGGGTGTAGGTCCACAAGTTCCCTGTCTCATTAGCCATGACTGAGCCAGACCAGCCCTTAAATGGTTTACACTTCTTTCTTTACTTTTTTCTGGGCTGGTGGATCTACGGGTCTACTGTCCCCTTGTCACGGATACAGATCTAGAGATAACCCCATGACACAAGGAAATTTTTTTGATTCCACTGAATTCAGAGAATATTTTAATTGGAGGCATTTTGCTGTTTGTTGCATTGGAGAGAGAAGTGGTGCCAAGTTTAGCCTTGCCATACAGAGTAAATGAAATACCAGAGGTAGCTGGCAAGGGAATTATGCAGCAGATCTGATTTAAATTTACCTGGAACTGAGGTGTAGATCAATATTGTCAATCTTGGGCAATTTGACCACAGGTCCTGCTAGGAGACAAAAAATGACTTTTCACCATTCAGGAAAGCGTAAAATATGATGCAGAAGTGTTTTTGTCTGAAAGGTGTGCAAAGTTGGAGATACAAACAGAATTCCTTGTTTTTTTTTTTTTTTTTTATTTTTTTATTTTTTTTTTAATTTTTATGTTTGAGATAGTATAGTTACATTTCTAGGCAAATGGGAAAATGATTGACTCTATGGCCAAATTAGTCCAAAATAGTTGCCAAGAAAGGATTGTACCTGGAAAACTATAAATAAGAGTGGTTTGTGTGTTTTCTTGGATTTGAGTGCTTTCCAGGGTTGTTTGAGGTAGGGCTCCTGAGCAATGTGCCTTCAAGTGGACTAGTAGCACTTTGAGCTAGGCTGGTACACCTAAAGAAGACTGGAGGAAGTGCAATATAAAGCAATGTGGGATCCCAAAGACAGGAAAATCAAGTTCTTCCTATAAACCTAATGGAAAGCATGATAGATACTCAAAGTAGGACTTCTGTTTATGAAGATAACTGGGGGGGGGGCAATGTAAGTAACTATAACCATTAAGAAAAAGTGTGTGGTAACATCCCAGATGCTGTTCATCTAATTTTGGATCTGACAAAAGGTAACTCCTTTCTGAGCAACTCCCCTACTCCTCTGTATTCAAGCAGAAACAGATACAGGGAATATGGAATAACAATCAGTATTCCTAAGTAATCAAAGCCTGTGAGTAATTCTCCAGGAACTGCTTGCATACATGTGCCAACGTTCACATGAAAAAGAAATAATTCAAGTCAGTCTTACCATCAGTTGGAAGAGAGGTGGCTGAGCTACCTTCAAATACCGATGTCAGGATGTATACAGAAAAACAGTGAACAGACTGTAAATCCCCATCTTACCTTACCCCAGAATTACTTGCTTCTTTGCCCACACACCTCGAGGTATGTTTTATGTGAAACTTCCTTCCCATCTTTCCTGCTGTCTAGATGTAATTTTGCTCACTTCTGGCAGACTGTGACACATTAGTCTCTGTCCAGCCTTGCAGCTCACAAGGGGAGAAATAGGAAGATCAGGACTCTTAAGACTTTGGCTTATAGAAACCGTGTCTGACCTAATGATGACGCAACAATTGGTGTTAGGTAAACTGCTGCTTATTCTGTACTTTGTTATTCAGTACATACAGTAGAGCTGACAAAGCTTAACTCATCTACTTGGAATTCACTGAGATCTAAAGATTTAAGAGCAGCAGAAAGTTGCATTTTACTTCTTTACACATATAGCTTTCAGTAGTACATGGTTGCTATTTAATAGTGCAGAATACTTAGCATATGGAAATGGGTGCTTGCATTCTGTGGTTTAATGTAGGAATGTGCCATTTTTCAGGTTGCTCCTATTTATCCTGTTGGAGAGCAGTTGTTATTTTTCAAGCCAGAAAAGAAGGGTAATTCTTTTAAAATAGGGCATTAAATTAGGAGAGAGTGCATTCAGGATTTGAATTGCATCACAGCTGAATCAAATTCAATAATCAAATTAGAAAAAAAAACAACAAAGTGCTATGAATATACTGGAAAATACGCTTTTCTAAAAAGAGCATATTAGACGCTATGATAATCAACTTATTGTTCTGAGTCCTTGTCAGGACCAAGAAAGGAAAGGAATGAGAACACTGATAGTTGCTCAAATCATGAGAAAAATAGCTTAATATTTATATTTAAGCATGAAGGATCTAAAATTGAATGCAATTTCTAATGATGCAGATTGAGTAAATGCAGAAGAATAGATACATTTCTCCGCAATTTTTTGGTACACAATCCAACCCTGAAACACTTAAATGTAAATGCTGTCTTGAATGTCTTTTTGGATGATGTAGTTGAAATGCTAAGTCATGGCCTGAAGCAGTGATTGAGCACCTGGTGGGAAGGCAGGGCCAACCCAGGGAGAGCTCAGGTGTATGCAATATATCTGAGTGACCAGAAGAGGTGGGGCCATGGTCTACCCCTTCACAGACCTCATTTAAGGGTTGGCAGTGGGGGTGAGGGCATCTCTTGTTGGAGTTCTCTGCTTACCTGAGGCCTTCTAAAAGTAAGCAGTTCTTTTCCTTCATTTTTGTATTCATGGCTGCATTTAGGCTCATTCTCATTTGCTATAGACAAAGATTTTACTATCTTGCTGTTATCATCCTGTTACAGTGTTACAGAAAATATCTCAGTGACTCATATTTGTTTGGCCTATTACCCTGGGACGGTATTCTATTTAAAGTTCCAAATAAGTGTTTTTAAAGAAAATTGCCTGAAGGAAAAAACCTTCTTTTCAAAATTAATTGTGAGGAGTTATCATGAGACCAAAGGTCAACATAGAAGGAGTTTAAAATCGTCTTTGGTAAATTAACATTTTTTTTCTTCTTTAGTGGATTTACTTCATTTTCCTTTTTGTCTTAATTTGTTGTACAAATGTGATTTCTTAGATTGAATATAAAAATATATTTTTATCATGAAACATTCCTTAATTTGTTAGGCTTGATTATAATGAAATTTCAAGTTTTAAAAACTACGTTCAGTAACATTCTAGATGGTTTGAACTCTCTAGATTCTGGTTACTGCTTGCTTCTTAATATAGGGAAGCTATTTCTTGTCTAATGCGGTCTTGTTACTTAAAATCTTTGGTATCTGGGCTTTCTCTGTTTCTTTCTGTCTCTTATTTTTGTTCTTTAATCATTTTATCCTTAAGGGAAGAAATATGCCTCACCTCTTCCTTTGGTCTTTCAATAACACTTTAGCTCCATGTTCAGGATATTTATTTGACCTTTCATATCTCCAACATCTAATGACATTTGTTTTGTTAGCTTTCGTAAAGATGAATGACCTTCTAACTCTTAAAGAAAGTGGGAAATTAATATTTTTACTTTTTCTCTTTGTAGAGGTAAGCTTTGCTATTTCTTTTTACTTGCTTTGAGACTTAGGGTGAAGCTCTGGCCCACATTAAGCCATTTATGTGGATTTGTTTGGGTTCAGATCTGACTACTGGTTTTATTATGAAGATAAGGTTGTTGCCCACGTTTGCTAGTAAAGAGCCATGTGTTTACTAAGTCTTTTTTCCTCTAATTTCCCCCGTCTGTAAGCATGGAGTTTTTAGAATTTGCTCTTGATATATGGTAGTTCTATGCCTAGAGGAATGGCAGAAGAAAATACCAATTGAGTTTATCACTGAAGTTGGAAAAAAATCTTTTCCTCATTCAAATAATGTGCGTGAGGTTTATGCATGAAATCATCATCTGTCTGCACTGTGCAGAGGGGGCAGCCTCTGTTTCTGTAATTTAGCTTAGCTGAGTTGCTATTTTGGTAGGTGAGGTGCATTTCTACTGTGGGAAAAATATGAGCTTTGAAGACAAAAAAAAAAGTCTGTAACAGCTATTCCAAGATCTATGTCAAATGCAAATTGCCTCATGGGAATATTTCTTTTGTTGACTCTTAGATATCTCATGTGATTTTTAAAAAGCATTTGGTGAATTTACAGTGGCCACTAAATGAGAGAGTGAGAGAGAGCTATTATCACCATTTCATGTTAAATTTATTTAATATGGTACGTGTTCCAAAGTGTGTCATCCTGCTTTCTTGTTTAAAAAATAAATAAATAAATAAATAAAATGTAATTATGTCAGAAAAACCCATGTGGAAGCAAGATTTTTGTAATCCAGTGAAATCTTAAGGGGCATGAAAGGACTTTTTTTCTTCAAGGTTCCTAATAGCTCTCTAATTATTTGCTGTGAGAGGGCTGTGTACATCTGTGTATTCCCGTGACAATATTCTTATGATTTATTTTAGTTGATTCCTTTGGGGAAGATGAATACATAAAGAATTGAGCTATATATAAACTGTGATTCAGAACTTTCGTTTCTACTATAGTGGTCTGCCTGTGTAAGATGGCAGACTGTCTAGGTAATGGATTCAAGAAAAAATTAAATGCTTTCTGCTCTCTCACTCCCATTTTTAATTGTAGAATTTCGGTAGGCATGTCTGGATGACATGGTTCCAAATGTTTCTTTAGTTTCAAAACAGTTTATCACTATTCCTGCTTTAAATGTATATACATTCTAGCTCATTTTAATGGTTCTCTGAAATGCACATTTTCTTGCAGGGACTTCTGTATCAACAAGTGGGAGAATTAATCTCTATGTAACATTTACAATGCAATATTTTTCCTCTGATTTCACTGGTAAAATGTCTTAGGAGGTGGATTTCTTCCTCTGCTGTCTTTCAAACGAAATTGATCAGTGCTTTAAAAAAAAAAAAAAAAAAAAAAAATACCCTGCCCTTATAAGGGAGTATTTTAGGAAGTGCTAATGTAAGGAAACTATTAAGAGTAAGACAAATAAATGCAACATATCCTGTTATGTATGTAGATGTATACATCTACAGCAAAATACTGTTTGTAGCAGCTCAGCAGTACCTGCACAAAGCCATCTGTTCTTCAACTGCAATGTTATAAATATAAGTAAGACTTCTAGACTTCGAGCACTTGGAAATCAGCCCCAACAAGCAGTGCTGTTTCAACAGAATGAGTCTGGTTTTGGAGCTGGGACCTACAAGGAGCAAAGAATGTCATCATGTCCTTGGGCTGCAAGGCTGCTTGTGTGGTGAAGTCTCTCTGATGCATACATTAATGGATATATTTGTGGTGGTTTCTTACAGTCCTTGCAGCATTTTGTATTTTTTTTTCTTTGTTGCAGCTCATCTCCTCCTAAGGTCTCAAAAATAAAAGCCAAATTCACCTTTCAACTATGCGGTTAAAACAGGAAACTGTTTTTGCAAAGTTCGCGTGCTTTTATTGGTTTCTAATAATTATAGTCAAATATGTTGTAAATATTTTTCCTTGGTTTCTTTTATAGAAATAAAAAATCCTGTAGGTGAATTCATGCAAAAGGGATGGGTATCTGTGTGACTGGAGCTTGGCTTCTTAAGAGTATTAAAAGGCTCAGCTAGTTTATTGTGTTGAATTCATTTTGATTACACGTTTGATGATTTTTTTTTTTTCATTGGATCGGATCTTTTCCAACACTTTTCCACATTTGTTATTGAAAAGCAGTGTCATTCATAATTCATGTTGGCTTATCCTCATGGGATATTTGCTGTCTTTCCCTCCCAAAATCAAATGTTAAAATGACACATAACTAGGGGGCATTAAAGATTCAAATTTACTAACATGTAGTGTTTAAAAAAATGTCATTTTTTTGGTGCTAAGAGTTATTTATAGGAGTACAGAGTTATTTAAAATGTTGTAGTACAAAAATTCTGCCTGGAAGAGACCAAGAGAAGTCCATCGGCAGTCAGACCATGCTGAGTCCCTTGAGGCTATACTAGGGCTTTACTGTGATTCATCTGCAAGGTATCTGTAGCATTAATTCAGCTCTGAACTAAGCAGCATATGTCAGCAATCCAAATACAATTTCTCCAGGGATGTACTGCTGAAATGGTGTCCAGTTTTATTGTAAAGGAGTTCTGGTATAACCTGTGTAGGAGTAGAATATAGAGACAATGCTTTCTCATTGACTCCTGTAACCTCAGTTTTCTTTTTGCTAGATAGCAAACAATGAACACAGGCTCTCTGATGTTCACTTCTGCAAAAACCTCATGCGTAGATTTCTTTTCCTCATGCATTTTTATTTGCAGGTCCTAAAGGAAGCCACTTGCTGTTGCTTTATGGAGCTAGGAGTGAGACCAATTCATGGGGGCAAATGCAGAAAGCTCATGGTAGACTTTCCTGAAAAATGTTTCCAAGATCCCTTTATTCCATTGTCTCCAAATTGAGGAAATCTCAATATCATTCTTTAGACATTGCCATGAAGTATGGATGACTACAGATTTTAGTGAAGCACACAAAGTTCTGGTGTGGAAAAGGGAATCTCTGCTAGCTTTCAGGAGGGGAAAATATTCTGTCCTGCGGTCTAAGATGACATAAATTTTTCTGTGAAGGCAGGTAGCTTTTGGAGGACTCTGGCCTCTTTGAATCATGATAATCCTTGGGCTTCCCATGGAGTGATACAGCTTTGTTCTAGTACCACTGTGAATATGAATGACCTGAGTATACAGTTAGTCCTCAGATCTGAGGATTGGGCATGTTCTTTTCTCCTCTCCAAAGCATCAAACTCAGATGAAATTATGATTGGGAAGAGGAATTGCTAGGTAAAATTCTGTGGACCGTGCTAAGTGGCCACTGTGATCTATTTTGGTCTTAAGTTCTGAAGAATTATATTGTGTGCATCCAATTTATAATGTCACTTGTCTGCAAAAGGAGTTACTTGCCACCACTGCCTATTGTTTCTTGATTGTTCTGACAGGTTGAATGAATGAAGAAGTGATGGAGATCTTAAAACTGGTTTGTGAGTTCTGTAAATGTCTGTCATTATTACATTGTTTAAGGACAGAATGTGTAGAATAAAAGTACTATATTTGGAGATGTGTTCTTGTTTCCTTTCTTCCCCTATTTAGTGTAACTTGGCCATAACTTCACATTTAGTTATGTTTAAGTTCTGACACTTATCCTTGCTGGCTCACATTCTCAAAAGATAATAGTCTGTATTGTTCCACTGATGTCAGTGGAGTATGCCAATTTATATATCTGCTGTATAGTGAAGCATAATGAAGAGTACATTCATTCAAAACCAGAATTGAATACCTTTCAATCTGTTGTCACTCTCTGTTCTCTAGAACAAACTGGAACTAATTACATTGATTCATTATTTTTTTGCTTTTTTCAAGATACTGTAAATGTGCATTATTATTTGGATTTAATATAAATTTTGCACTGACTGCTTGTAATTCTTCCTCATGCCTGCTGTTGGAAATGCATCAGTAAATAAAAGTGAGCATAACTGACAGCTCTGTAGAGGCTGAAGGTAGGCTGTGACCTAACTGAGGACTGTTCTTGTAATGAGAGGCAGCTGAATGTTTATGTACATACAGACACTAAAATAGATTCCCTGGCTCTCTTTCATGAACCAGCAGATGGTAGCAGAGTCTATGGATCTCAGAGAAGGTGAATGTGCATTAAATAATGTACCTGCCCTCATTCATTAGCCATTCATCTTTACTTGTCAGCCTCTTTGTAAGTGCCTTCTGTAGTGTTGACCCTGAAACTGTGTCATTTAAACAGTAATCATACATCTCCAGCATTTCCCCTTTCTTTTGCATATCAGTGGCTTTAATTCTGTTGTAATGTGGACCGCTGATAGCTGTAGGCGTTCTTTGTAGAAAAGAGGTATTCATAAAATGGAATGAGGAAAGGCTGACCTGCTGCATTGAAGATGGGAAGAGGAAGAACTGAAAGGAAAAAGGTGTGTGGGCTTTTTACTAGTCTTTCACATGTACCTGGAATTACAAATGGCCCTTCACTATAACTCTCGTTTAGGACTTGCCGGAGTACTTAGTACCTGGTGTAAGGTTGCACAGAGAAAACACAGGTCCTGCTAACAGAGTCTACTGTTTAACCAAAGATACTGTGTATAGGAATGAGCTAAAGGAATATGCTTTCTGGATTGAGACCAGCTGACCTCCAATTAAATGGGTTTCATGGTGTCTTTTTGAGATGGGATTTGAAAGGCAAGGTTGAAGCCTTCAGTTTGTGAAGAGGGGGGGAGGGACCCCTGAAGCCTGAGGTGTTTTTACCTGCCCTTTTTGTGACTGTGCCAAGGATAGCAGGGCTCAAAGGTTCAAATATTGTCAATAGTTAGTTATGTTGAAAGTACTGTTGAGCTGTGAGCTACATGCTGTGAGCCTGTCTGCAGTAAATGATGAGAAATATACTTTCAGGATGCACTGACAGCCCAACGAAGCCAACATGCCAAAATGATTAAGTCAAACATACCATTTTCTCCCTAGATCCATTTTTTTGTTCTGAAGGGTCAACCACAGGATAAAAAAGCATGAGGGATGCAAAGTGTTCCATTTGACATCTGTTTCCATCATATTGGACTATCTCTTCTGTAGTGCTGGAAAAAGTACAGGACTATTTTTATTTTTTGTCCATGGGCCCTACTGAGAGTCTAGGAAATGCTTTATTTTTAGAAGTGTTATAACTATTGCAGTCTCTAGATGGTACTCTGTAATCGTAGTAATGTGGCCTGCCTTTTGCAATGGTCTTACTGTTTTTTTTGGTATCTTCAAAATGTAGGGAAAGTAAAATGAAGTCAGCAAGAAACCTACCAAATAAAAAATAAAAAGGTCATAGGTTTTTGTTTCAGACTCCATATTTAGATTAGCTTTCATTCATGTATAATGGGCTAGATGTTCTAACAGTGCTTAACACATTAGGTTCTAATATTAATGAGTTGTGCTCTATTGAGCCAGTGCTTTCGTTACAGTTACTGGCAAGAAAAGAGGAGAGATTAATGCAGGATTCCCCAAGAGAAAAACAGTTTCTTTCTTGTGGTTCTGAGGTTTTCATTTGTTGTGATGTGTGCACGGTGTGCATGAACATCTGTGCATCTACATATGATTTTAGGGCACTCCACACTGAGGATAGCAGCTCAGCTTTCTGCTGAAGTTGATGGACAGGGACTTATACGAAGATGGGAGAACGCTAATTAAAAAACAAACAAAAACAAAAACACCCCAGACCATCTCTAGCAACAGACTGCTATTTGTACAGAAATTTTCATGACCTCGTGCTCCAGAATTTAGTAGTAAAAAGAAACACTTTACTATTCTTGATGGCATAAGAGACATGTTATCTACAGGAGAGGAGTGGAAGACCCTAGGTATTCTTGTACTCTGTTTTTAAGGACTGCCTTACTGAGCCTACACGGTAGGATTAACAGCTATTTTCTACAGAGCTGCAATAAAATCTCTGAGCGTGTATTAAGTGCTAGAATAGGGGTTTTCAGACTTCTTAAAAATAAAAATAAAAATACAAGCCCTAATGAATTTGCTTCCCTAGATATTTTTAACTCAAAATTAAGACTTTCTGTGAAACTGTGTGCAATTGCACTAGAACTCTATATAACTCTGGCTGATATGATAGGCGAATAATCATTAATACATTTTATTTTCCAAACGTTATCTTACCAAATATCTAGTAAATCCTACTATTACATGAGCTCCTTTTTATTCTTAATTTATGGTTAATCATATGCCTGAAATGTTTGACGATTAGCTAAAGATGTAAATGCTACTCAGAGAGAAAAATGAGTATAACTGAATCAAGGAAGAAAAATCGAGGAATAGTTGAAGTTTTGTTCTTACAAATTCCTATTTGAAATTAGGTGTATGTGCTACAAGAGGAATCCATGATTAAACAGGGAAAGATTTGAGGAATATTTAAATCAGGGAAATTTATTTGAGAGGAGGAAGAGTCTGTGGTGATGTAGATATTAATGTTGCCTCTAGTTGTGTAGTTGAACTGCACGAATTGTTGTTTTTATTCTGTAGTGGGCAGGAGGCAATATTTGCTTTCTGTTGAAGGTTTCTGGAGGTGTGGGATATATATAATTTTCCCTATTAATGAAAGCATATACCTAAAATTGAACCTCCTCTATCTTCATCATATGAGCTTCTACTCCATGCCTGCATGTGCTGTTGCTAATCTAAATTGATTTTTATACTTATCAGTCTCACTGACATAATATTTGGGTGCCTTCCAGTATATTTTTTTGACGATGTAACTAACATCTGTCATTTTTTCTCCTGGGAATAGATGCATGTTCAGTATAATGCTTGGGTTTTTGATGTATGTACTACTGCACATATAGTAGGCAAACTTAAAGATCCCTTCTTTATTCTTTATCCAGCCTTGCTTCCATTCTCCTTTGACTTCTGAAGAATTTTAGAAAAGGTGTAATTTCTTTTTCTTACTCAAACTGTTTGAAGGCCACTTGTTATATTTATATTTGGTTTTAATTTGTGTCATTCTGAAAATTGTATATGAAAATCCTGTATTTGGAATATTTCCAGTTTTTTTTTTTTTCCATTTATTTAAAATGTAGCTTGGATTTTATTCTGTTATTAAAAACTTAATAAATACCAAATTCTCGGGAGAGAACAGATATGAAAGGAGAGATGCAAAAAAGAAACTTGGAAGAAAATGAAGATGTGGTATCTTCCTGGCTAGGTTTATGTACACGAACTCAACAGTTGTGCAGTGAATAAAAAAAAAAATGAAGTGTTTATAGATACCAGCTTTGAACATCAGGTTCAGGACTTCGCAGCCACATACTAAGATTTATTTGAGCCCTTCTCAATTGTCTGTCGCTGTTTTTCTATGAACATCTAGAAAGTATTCAATAAATAAAGTTTTGATAAACAGTAACAAAAATGTGACCACGTTCTTCCTTTGAGTTTTTGGTGTGGAATTCTTTCCATGACCATTTTTAATTTGAACTGCAGCAAATATGATCAGAACTGAAAATGATAATCAGTGTTCAGTGGTTTCCAAACATCGGTATATGAAATTATTTGATTTTGCATGCCTGATATTGAAGGAAGTGGGAAAAAGACAAGGGATTAAATGTGCTGAAAGGAATTAAAATTGGTAATTATGTCAGGGTAAAATGTAAACTTTTGCAAGAGCTGTTAACAGCAAGAGAGAAAAACTTCCCGGTCGCCTTAACGTGTGGCATATCAGTTTCTTCACATTCTTTGGGATTGAAAATGTCATTGAATGAAACTTTGCCTACTGAAGCAGAAGAGCAGAGTATTGTTTGATCTTTCAAGGGAGACATGTTTGATGCTGTTGTCATCAAAACCCAGCTAAAATGATTAAATCTGTGTTCAAGGCCTTTGAAGTTCAATTCAGTTAAGTCAGAAACAAAGGTAGTTTGTATTTGATAACAAAATAATAATGCTTTTGTGCCAGGTACATGGATTTTTTTCTGTAAGTATACATACATTTATAGGTGTGTATGTGTAATATATGTGTGCATATATATGTATGCAAGCATGTTGAGAAAGAATAGTTTTGCTGCCACTCCTATGCTTAGTGTGTCAAAGGTGAATGAGGATAAAGAAACCTTTCAAAGTGGGAGAGATGTTAAGTACTTTTGATGTGTTAGCAAGTATTCTTGCCCACACTTTTCTGTACAGATGTGCAACACTGGAGTTGTCATACTGGATCAGAAGCACAGTCTGTCTGATTCTCTTTCCCAGGGGCAGCTAATGTGGGATGCTACAGAGAGAAGTGGATGAAACTTTATCTACACCATTTTGAAAAATATATGCATCTTTAATATTAATGTAAACCCTGAAGCACAAAGTCTTATATCTTATTAAAAACTCTGTTTAAGAATTAACTCTTGGAAACAGGAATGGTCTTATTTGCCATATGAATGTATCATTTCTACAGGATCACAGAAAGTAAGGCTGAAGGAGTTGAGAGATGCTACAAGTCATCCTTTCCATCCACAAAGAAGAACAGCTAAATCTTGTCCTTTTCCTCACATTCCTTCATCTGAATGTTCCTGGGAACAAGGTAAGAAATTATATTATATTTTGGTGCTTTACCATCTCATCAATCTGTTAGGTATGATACAATGACATAACAATAAAGCAAAAATAAAATGAACAACAGGGCTAGTGGCACGGTGTTGTGCAGATGATTCTTTACTTATTTTCCACTAGCCCAGCAAATTACTGCTGCTTTCATCAGCAGACCTATGTTCACCAGTGTGGGACAGAGAAGCAGTGTAACAGATAAGGAAGGAAAATTGTGAATAGGTGTCTCATCATGGAAGTAATTGAAGCCAAATGGTGGTGTTAAGGTTTTGTTTTCCTAACGCTTATTGTTGCTGCTCCAGGTTGGGGATTGTGGAAAGGAATGTGAGACACACCTCGCAGGGATTTGCTGATTTCTAGTGAGTTAGCTTAAATGGCTAACGTGGTACATGTGTGTTCCTTGTTTTTGCTGGCATAGGCCTCTGTGTGTTTCGTCTATGGTGGTCTGTAAGTTCATCCTTAATACCGTGACATAAAGTGTCTGTCATATCTGCCTTGAAGATTCCAGGGTCTGAAATCCTTTGCCAACATGAAGATTTTTTTTAAATGCTCTATTAGTACTCATGTTAAACTAAAACTGGATTAAGATCAATTTCAGTAAGAAGGCATAGAATAGGCTGATAGAAGCTAGGCAGATCACCAGAGGCAGGTGAAGAGAGATGTGCTAATAAACTTTCACAGCCTGCTAGAAGCAAGAAAAAAAGGAGTTGGCCAGCAGCAGGAAGTGAAGCATTGAGCAGGGCCTAAACACACAGGAATCCATAGCCTAGACATAATCCGTCACTGGAGCATTCAAAATAAAATGTTTTATGTGTTGACAGACAAAACACCTGCCTGTCACTTCGTATTCTGTGCCCAGCTGAATTAGTCCCTGAATTAAGACTATTCATTTTGTATGTTGGTATGAAAAATTAAATTATTTTAATTAAGTAGGAAAAATGTCAGCTCACGTCATTCCTATATTAATGACAAAGAAGTTTCAAAGCCAGTGACTGCTAAGCAGGCCTGGGTAAAAAAAAAATCTCAGCAGCCCAATAAATTTGTCTTATTATTTGGTATTCCTCACATAAAAACAACACAACTGAAAAGACCTGACCTTTTCATGGACAGCAGCAGAGCTCTGACAGTAGTCAATACTTACAGGTAATTGTTGTGCAATTTAAGATCTGCTGTATAATCATGCATTTGTAAACATTTTTTTTCCCTTTCTTAGAGTAAAGCAAATTGCAAGCTACTGGCATTAGGTATAAAAATAAAGTATTGTTTTCCTGATGATTTTGCTTGGACCTATAATTAGAGTTGTGGTGAACTACCCAGGAATGATGCTGATAAGGGAACCTAGAAAAAAAAACTAGGCATAAAGAAGCAGGCAGTCATTCTGCTTGTGGTCTGAACACTGTACTAAGTAATTTCTGTGTTGCTCTACAATGATCCTCTTGTGACACAAAACATGCTATGAAGTTTGTGAAAGATACTGTGGTGGCTGGGAACTAAAGGGGATACTTCAGGGAAAAAAAAAGGGAACTGAAATGAAACATGACGTTTTGATGTGACTAGGCATTTAGCAATGTCCAGATGGACTGTCAAGCCTGAAGTAATTCTAAAACTCATTTTAAATTAGAAATTTCCCCTTCACTCTTGTTAACCTGCTTTATAAGGCTTTTCATTTTTAAAAATTATTATTTTTAATAATCACAATGCAAACAAGTTTTACTTTATTTCCTACTTACATGACTTCCAGTTTCTCTATAGGTAGAAGTCGGCAACAGCTATTTCAGGACCTGCACATCTGGTGTCTCATAAAGGAATGTGCCAGAACCATCAGAAATGTTTAAAACAGTGCTTAGACCAAACATCTGCTATCAATTCAGGTGTAGAGAGAGAAAGAACCCAATTAGAAATAACTATGGGCCAAACTCTAGCAGATGTTCAATTACACTTGCTACCTACTTTGTAACAGACTTAGAGTGCAGTTGGTGTTGTATATATGCATCTTTTCAGGATTGTTTTTGAGTTTCTGTGTGTACTGCCAGCTGCACTAACAGTCAGAGGTCCTACCACTTCTCTACAGCTGTGCATTTAGGATGCCTTACTGCATGGGGTGTATTTCTGTACAGTATTTCTTGTTTGCTTTGCTTCATAAGCAAAATGTGAATCATGTTGCTAGGACTGGGCAAAAGATAACTTGTTCTTACCAGTGTTCTTCATCTGGGAAGAAATCCATCTTGATCTGCAGAAAGGCTTTAAATTTACCCACTTAAGTTATCTTTAAGCAATGTGGAAATGTTCTTTTGATGCCTGACACCTGTGCTGTCTGGTGCATGGCTATTATGGATATTTCTGAAATACCTGAAAGGTGTGACTGTCACTGTGCTAAAAATTAGAATATCCCCTGGACGAGGGCATGATGCACTTCCCTTCCCCAGCTGGACTCTAGGTCATTGCAAGAAATGATATCAGTACTTGGTCATTAACTTAAACTTCTGACAAATTAAAAAGAGTGTTCTCTTCTGCCTGGGTAGAAAAATGACTTTTTTATCCTTGCACAGCTGCAACTGAGAAATAGAAATTAATATTGCTCCTAAATGAAGATTCAGGCTAGAGAGATGTGACAGGATGAAGGTAAAAACTTGTTTGCTTTTGACAGGAGATTGGTTTGAAATGTACTTCCCAAGTTGATGGGTTATGAAATGGAAACCTAGTAGACAGGAATTAATTTTTATTGCTAAAATTGTGTGTGGTGTTGGAAAAAACAACTAGTGTACAAAGAAGTGTCCTGTTGGTGAAGTGGAACATTTGGCAGTGAACTGGTTACAGCTTTTTCATCCTTAAAAAGCTAATGAAAAGATGACTCTTCTCTCCTGGGGAAAAGCTGTAGACTTGGGAATAAGTGAAACAAATGAAAGTCCACAGATGTTCTTATAGAAGATGTAATATTTTTAAGTAATTTTGAAAGAAAATACTTCATTTTTTGTCACATTTTAATATTCTTTAGCCTAGGGTGATAAGATGCATCAATCTCACCACTAACTATTATAACCTTGAAAAAGTTTCCTTCTCAAAAGAATGAGAAAACTGATCCAGTTTAAATATGAATGGTAAAAATATTTTCCATTGGCCTTTTGTCCTATTCATGTGGTTTCTTCCAAATTGTTATGCACCTCTGCATGCCTTTTCTCCACATGCTCTTTATGTGCCCCAGAATTCAGATATGGCTTTGGAGAGGCAAGCACTTGTGAAACAGCATCTCAAGTATGTCCATCCTTTGACTTTACGTTCCATTGGTTTTCATAGAACCATCGAATCCTCAGAGCTGGAAGGGGCCTTTGTCATGGAATTAACTAGATCAGTTTATGCCCGTGACAGGGGGCAGTAGGCCCCTGCCCTCCCCACCCCCCGCCTGGGCCCACAAAATGGGAAGGTAGGGGGAAAAGGAAAAAAACAGCGGCAACAATCTATGGAGGTAAACTTATTTTACTAACTATGATATCAGAATGCAAAATAATACAATATAATACAATCTAATTGAAATTGAGACTAATAAATCAAATAAGATACGAGAGAGAAAGTTCCCGAGACCGAGTCAAACCTGAAAAAGCTTGGAACGGCTAGGAAAGCACCCTCCAGCACCCACGGCCAGGCAGTAAGAGACCGCCCCACCCGGAAGGGTCAGATCCCGTGACTTCCGTAATGTATAGGGATAGGTACGTAGAATTAGAGCATTAACACTTTAATTCCAGTACATGATGTTTTGATGTGGAATATTGAAAATCAAATAAAAAAAAACAAAACCATGACAGCCTTTAAAAGTCATCTAGTCCAACTCGTCTGCAATGAGCAGGGACATCCACAATTAGACTAAGTTGCTCAGAGCCTGGGTCCAACCTGGACTTGAAAGTCTCCAGGGACTGGGCATCCACCACATCTGCTGGCCATTCTTATTTTGATCCAGCTCAGAATACCCTTGGCTTTCTAGGCTGCTATGGCACATTACTGGCTCGTGTCCAGCTTACCATCCATACCCTCCACCAATACCCCCAAGCCTTTTTCAGCAGTGCTCTGGTCATCATTTCACCCCCTAGCTTGTATTAGCAGTGCCTTGACCCAGGTGCATGACATTGCACTTGGATCTATTGAACCTAATATGTCTCTCCTGGACTCGCTGCTCAAGCCTCTCTAGGTCTCTGTGGATGGCATTCCATCTGTTGGGCATGTTGACTGCATCTCACAGCTTGGTATCATCCACAAACTTGCTGAAGGTACACTTGACCCCACTGTCAATGTCATTGATGAAGAGCATTTGTTCTAACACTGACCTCTTGGGGACACTGCTCATCACTGATCTCCATCCAAACATGGACTCACTGCCACTCTCTGGATTCAATCCAATTCTGCAGCCCATTCTTTGTCCATCAAATGGCACACCCATCAAATCCATATATTTTCAATTTGATGAGAAGGATGTTGTGGGGTACTGTATCAAAGGCCTTACTCTGAAGTTCAGGTAGAGGACATTAGTGACTCTCCCCTTATCCACTGATGCAGTTGCACCATCGTAGAAGTCCACTGGATTAGTCAAGCAGGATTTGCCCTTGCTGAAGACATCCTGGTTCTCTCGTATCACTTCACTGTCATCTGTGTGCCTTAGCATAGCTTCCATAGCTCCTTGATTTTTCCTGTCCCAGAAGTGAGCCTGACAGGTCATCCTTTTTGCCTTCTTAAAAATGGGTGTGATGTTGCCTTTTTTCCAGCCATCAGGAGCTTCATCTGATTACCATGACTTTTCTAATGTCACCAAGAGTAGCTTGGAGACCGCATCAATCAATTCCCTCAGGACTCTGGAATGCCTCTCATCAGGACCCATAGACCTATGGATATTCAAGGATGTCCCTTTTAAATCAGTCAGTCACTCTAGGGCTCTGTGATGAGATATTATCAGAGAAGACTAAGGCAAAACACAACAAAAAAAAGTTGACT